CGTTTTTCACAGCTCTGTTACTGTAAATATCTTGTACCTGTTTATGGATTATTTTATTCTAAAATATTTTGTCAAATGTGTATCAAATTAAAAACAAAGACTTTCATGTCAACAGCGCCTTCATGTGTTTTCTTCTGTGTAATTTTCATTATATAATATCCAAATTCTATTATTATTTCCTATTTCCACTTATTTTCAACATACTAGTTTTTATAGCTGGAACAGTGTTTTCTCTGAGTTCTGTGGTCAAGAAAGTTAGGGAAACATGGTATACTAGGCACTCCAAGTGGAAAATCTCACCCATGCACAATGGCATATTAAAGGTGGTTTAATTCCAGCCATTGAGATCATGCCTGCCTCTTTTAAAGACTTTTAGTGTCACAAGGATTCTGGTGTATAACCAGAATTGAAATACTGTTCTGGGTTTAATTTAGTTGTTTCCTGGCATTTTTGAACAGGAAGCAGGGTGGTTTTGGCATCCCTATTAAAATCAGTTGGAAACAGTTGATACTACTGGGTAAGGTGTTAGAAGCTTCGGGTCTGATTGGTGAGCACAGGCAGGAAAGCACTGTGAGTAGCTGCTGTCAGTTTACGTGGCACTTTGAGAAGGAGCTTCTCTTTCTAGGCCATGGTGCCATCAAGTAGGACAGGTAAGACCTCTTGGATCGATGGCTATCCTTTTCTCATCTATACCTACCGGAGTTGGTGGTGGAAAAACAAAAGGGCCTGCGTTACCCAGAAGCCCTTCTGAATCCTGCAGTCCGAAATCAGTCCTGTCACAGATTCTTTTCCTTAGGACTTCACCCTTTTTGGTGCACAGCTGTCAGTTCATCCTAGACCTTTGCTTCAGATGGCAATATTGTGAAACGTTGCTCATAGTAGTCTCTAATGATCATTTGAATTTCTGCAGTATCAGTTGTAATGTCTCTTTTCATCTCTGATTTTATTTATTTGGGTCTTCTCTCATCCTTAGTCTATTTTGTCTTTTCAAAACAACTTTTTGTTTTGTTGATCTTTTGTATTTTTTTGCTTCAGTGTCATTTATTTCTGCTCTGCTCTTTATTCTCTTCTGCAAATTTTGGATTTGTTTTGCTTTTGTTCTAGTTCTTCGAGATACATTGTTATGCTGTTTATTTGAAGTGTTTCTACTTTTTTAATGTAGGCACTTAACTTTCTATTTGTTTGAATGTTTTGAGACTTGTTTTGTGACCTAACATATGGTCTATCTTTGAGAATGATGATCCACAGGCTGAGGAGAAAAATGTGAATTCTGTGGCTGTTGGATGAAACATTCTGTAAATATCTGTTGTGTCCATTTGGTCTATAGTGCGGGTTAAGTCCAATGTTTCCTTGTTGATTTGCTGTCTGGATGATCTGTCCAAGGCTGAAAGTGGAGTGTTGAGATCTGCAACCATTATTGGAGTCTCTCTCTTTGGCTCTGGTAATATTTGCTTTATATATCTGGGTGCTCCAGTGTTGGGTGTATATGTATTTAGAATCATTATATCCTTTTGCTGAATTGATCCCTTTATCATTATATAATGACCTACCTCTTTGTCTCTTTTTACTGGTTTTATCTTGAAATCTATTTTATCTGATAGAAGTATAGCTACTCCTACTCTTTTTTGGTTTCCATTTGCATGGAATATCTTTTTCCGTCCCTTTATTTTCAGTCTGTGTATCTTTATAGGCGAAGTGTGTTTCCTGCAGACAACATATAATGGGTAGCTCGTGTTTTCTTTACCCATTCAGCCACTCTGTCTTTTGATTGGAGAGTTTACTCCACTCACAGTCAGTGTTGTTACTGATAGGTAAGGACATGCTACTGCCATATTGTTATTTAATTTCTGGTTGTTTCATGGTTTGTTCTTTCTTCCTTTCTTTACTTTTTTCCTGTCTTCCTTTGTTAAAAGTGTATTTCTCTGGCTGGGCGTGGTGGCTCACGCCTATAATCCTAGCACTTTGGGATGCCGAGGCGGGCGGATTGCTCAAGGTCAGGAGTTCGAAACCAGCCTGAGCGGGACCCCGTCTCTACCAAAAATAGAAATAAATTAATTGACCAACTAAAATATTATATATATATATATATACAAAAAAATTAGCCGGGCATGGTGGTGCATGCCTGTAGTCCCAGCTACTCGGGAGGCTGAGGCAGTAGGATCGCTGAGCCCCGGAGATTGAGGTTGCTGTGAGCCAGGCTGACGCCACGGCACTCACTCTAGCCTGGGCAACAGAGTGAGATCTGTCTCAAAAAAAAAAAAAAAAAGTGTATTTCTCTGGTAGTGTATTTTAATTTCTTCTTTTCATTTTTTATGTATCCCATTTTTTTTGATTTGAGGTTATTACCATGAGGCTTGCACAAAACCATTTATAGGCAAGTATTTTAAACATATGACAACTCTACTTACAAACAAGTAACTAAACAGAAATTTAACAGAAATTCTGCCAGAGTCTGCCTTTGTTGCCCAGGCTAGAGAGTGCCGTGGCGTCAGCCTAGCTCACAGCAACCTCAAACTCCTGGGCTCAAGTGTTCCTTCTGCCTCAGCATCCCGAGTAGCTGGGACTACAGGCATGCGCCACCATGCCTGACTAATTTTTTCTGTATATATTAGTTGGCCAATTAATTTCTTTCAATTTATAGTAGACACTGCCTCAATCTTTGTTCAAGCTGCTCTCTAACTCCTGACCTTGAGCAATCTGCCCGCCTCGGCCTCCCAGAGTGCTAGGATTACAGGCGTGAGCCACCAAGCCGGGCAAGAAATTCTGCCCTTTAACTCCATTCCTTCCCCCTGCACTTTAACTTTTTGTTGTTTCCATCCTTATCTTTTTATACTGCTCTCAAAAAGTTATTATAGCTGGGCGCGGTGGCTCACGCCTGTAATCCTAGCACTCTGGGAGGCTGAGGCGGGTGGATTGCTCGAGGTCAGGAGTTCGAAACCACCCTAAGCGAGACCCCATCTCTACTAAAAAATAGAAAGAAATTAATTGACCAACTAAAAATATATATGCAAAAAATTAGCCGGGCATGGTGGCACATGCCTGTAGTCCCAGCTACTCAGGAGGCTGAGGCAGGAGGATCACTTGAACCCAGGAGTTTGAGGTTGCTGTGAGCTAGGCTGACGCCACGGCACTCACTCTAGCCTAGGCAACAAAGTGAGACTCTGTCTCAAAAAAAAAAAAGTTGTTATTTTTGATAGATTTGTCTTTTAGTCTTCCTATTAAAGATATAAGTGGTTTATACACCACAATTATAGCAATAGAATATTCTGTATTTGAGTCCTTAATGTTACCAGTGACTTGTATACCTTCAGAAGATATCTTTTTTTTTTTTCTTTTTGGAGACAAAGTCTCACTCTGTCATCCTGGCTAGAGTGCAGTGACGTCATCATAGCTCACAGCAACCTCAAACTCCTGGGCTGAAGCAATTCTCCTACCTTAGCCTCCCAAGTAGCTAGGACTACAGGCACACAGCACCATACCTGTCTAATCTTTATATTTCTTCTAGAAATGGGTGTCTCACTCTTGCCCAGGCTGGTCTTGAACTCCTGAGCTCAAGCAATCCTCCCACCTACTCCTCAGAGTGCTAGGATTACAGGCGTGAGCCACCATACCTGGCCCTGCCCAAGATTTGTTATTGTTACTTAATGTCCTTTTCTTGCAGATTGCAGAACTACTTTTAGCATTTCTTATAGAACAGGGTGATGAAATCCCTCAGCTTTTGTGTTTCTGGGCAAGTATTTTGCCATATTCAAAGGATATTTTTGCAGAATATAATATTCTAGGTTCAAGGTTCTTTTCCTTCAGCACTTTGAATATGCCATGCCACTCCTGGCCTGTATGGTTTCCACTGAGAAGTCTGCTGCCAGATTGGAGCTCCTTTATATGTTTTTTTCTCTCTTTTCATGCTTCCCTTAGGATGTTTTCCTTATCCATGACCTTTGGGAATTGATTATTAAATGCCTTGAGATAGGCTTGTTTGAGTTAAATCTGCTTGGTGTTCTATGACCTTTTTGTACCTGAATATCGATATCTTTTTCTAGGTTTGGAAAGTTCCCTTTTATTATTTCTTTGAATAACCCAATCTCTACCTCCCTTTCTATCCCAGTCTCTACCTCCTCTTTAAGGCCGGTAACTCCTAGATTTGCTCTTTTGAGGCTATTTTATAGATCTTGTAGTTATGTGTCATTCTTTTTCTTTTTTCTCTTTGTATTTTCAAATAGCTTATCTTCAAGCTCACTAAGTCTCTCCTCTGGTCAATTCTGTTATTGAGAGACTCTGATGCTTTTCATAGTTTGTCAATTGAATTCTTAAGTCTAGAATTTCTTCTCTTTTTTTTTAAATTCAGCTCTTTGTTAATTTCTCTGACAGGCTTCTGAGTTCTTCTCTATGTTGTTGTGAAGTTCACTGAGCTTTTTCTGGACAGCTATTTTTGAATTCTTTATCTGAAAGATCTCCTATCTCCATCACTCCAGGATTAGTCACTGGTACCTTATTTAGTACATTTAGTGGAATCATGTTTTCCTGGATGTTCTTGATGCTTGTGGATGTTCATCAATGTCTAGGGATTGAAGAGTTAGGTATTTATCTTAATCTTTACAGTCTGGGCTTGTTGGAACCCGTTCTTGAGATAGCTTTCCAGATACTCAAGTGGAATTGAGTTTTGTGGTCTAAGTCTCTGGGCGCCGCAGCGGTATCAGCACTGGGTGGTGCCCCAAGCCGAGTAGTGCTGAGACTCCGGCAGACTCCTGATGGTGCTGCCTTGGTGAGCTTGGGTAAGATACAGGAGAATCCCCTGGGTTACCAGGCAAAGTCTCTGCCTCTCTTCCCTCACTCTCTGTGCTGGGCTGCTGGAGTTGGGGAGGAGTGATGTGCCACTCCCTCGTGGCCACCAGTGCCAGGTCACACCTGAACCCAGCCCAGTCTCACCCAGAGCCTGTGGTGGCTGCTGCCTGGCTGCCTCTGAAGCCCAAAGGCTCAAAGCCCAAAGGCTCTTTAGCCAGCAGGTGGGGAATCCTGCCAGGACCCGTCCTTCCCTTCAGGGCAGTGTGTTTCCTTATGCCTGGGGTGGGTCCAGAAATGTCCTCCAGAAACTAAAGCCTGGACCCAGGGGCTTCAGGAGTCTGCTTGGTACTCATGTGGCTGAGCTGGTACCTAAATTGTAAAACAAAGTCCTGAACTCTTCCCTTTCCTTTCCCCACATTGAAGAAGACTCTCCCTGAGCTGCACTGCCTGAAGTTGGGGGCAGGGGGACACAGGCACTGGCTTGGCTGCTATGGTTGGTGTCTCACTGGGTCATGTGTACCCCAAATTTAAGCTTTAGTAACTTCAGAAAAATAGGTGCTACAAATTTACCCCCAAGATTACTTGAAGTTTTAATTATGTATGTTTATACTAACTTTAGTTTTGTGGATGTTGAATAATGAATTATTAGTTTTAATTATTTGAGTTAGCCCCTCTGATTCAAAACAGTAAGGCTTACTGTAAAACAAAAAATGTACTATTCAGCATTCATGAAAATAAGTATAAAAAGACTTTAGGTTTTATATATGGGCTGGTGTGAGGCAAAACTGTTCTGTAGACAACATGGATTTGAGGGTATGTGTGACCCTGAGAGTACAAATGTCTGGGTACAAGCAGAAATTCCAGGTAGTTCAGACTTCTAAGGTGCTAGTCAAGGGCTCCACCCGGTAACAGGGGTCTGAGTAATATCTGGATTCTGAATGAAACAAACACAATTTCACAGAAGCAAATATGATAAAGGGTGGAGTTGGAAAATGGGATGGCAGGGGAGGGCAGAGGGGCTCCGGAGGTGGAGGGATCTGGTGGGTGGGGGAGGGGCAGTGGCCACACCCTCCTGTCGTCCCCTCCCCACCCTCAGAAACCCTCTGTGACTCTCCTGTGCTCTGTGATTCAGGCCTGGGACTATAGCCAGGTGCAGGCACCCTCAGAGCTCAGTTGCTTCAGGCAGCCATGCCATTCACACAATGGAGAACATTCTCTGTTTCCCAAGCTGCCACATAGAGCCATGGCTGAGCTTTGGCTCAACTGTTTTGGATACGGACCCCCAATTTGTCTTTCTGGGTGGATTGGGGTTACTGTTTCTATACCTGTTCTACCTGGTAATGAAATCATTTTTTTCAACCACCTTGGAAAATGAAGACATCACAAAGGTAAGAAACATCCAAAAGAGATTTTTTTTTTTGCATTCCTGTTCCCACGTTTCTGAATGAGCCTGGGTGGCTTAGAAAGTGCTGGAACAAAGGAAGAAGCTGTGCAGGGTTTGGGGTTAAGGAGGACCAAGGTTTGCACCTCAGGCTCACAAGCTGCCGATGTGGGTGTGGTGGAGGGTTCCAGGATAAAACCCCGAACAGTAATGTCATGGTCCTCAGCATATTTAGAAAGTGTGGGTTCTCTGAAGGAGATCAGTCTCTCCAGACACTTGATCTCGAGCCACATTTCCAGGTCAGGTGTCACCACACCAAGCCCCTTCCTTCATGTTGGGCCGAGCAGGAGAGCAGTGTTGAGGGCCTGCGACCTCTGTCCTCAGGATACAGGGACCATCTGATTCTGTGTCCTCCTTGAGCACAGGACTTCTGCGTACATCAAGTGGGAATTTTACAAAAAAAAAATCCTTTGAATTTTTCAAAGAAGGAAAAATTGGAAATATTTTATCACTTGTAAAAATTGATAAGAAACACATTTCTGTTAATTAAAATAGATAATCATTATTCATGGATAATAAAAGTCTGAGCTTCCTAGAGAAGAGGAATGAGAGATGTGAGTCCCAGCCTTTTACTCTTTTCTTTCTGTTTTCAACATAAGGACAGAGCCAAGAGGAGAAGGAATGGTGGGACGTTGAAAGGTAAGGTTCTCTCTGTGTGACCTGAGCTCTCCAAGGGGGAGACTTTCTGTTCCTTCTGTGAGGTCCCAGGTCCGTGATCTCTGAGGATGTCACTTGCTGGAAAGTAGAGCCCTCAGAGGAGGGCTCACAGGAAGGCAACAGGACCTGAGGCCCTTCTCAGAGTCCCCGCTCTGCCCATCTGTGGGCAGGAAGCAGTGATGGGCCTAGACAAAGGTATTCCCCAAAAGGTGGCCATGTGAGGTGTCAAGGAAGACTAGCAGTTGATTTGGAGTCAGGACTTCTGTCTCCTGACTTTGTATATGCACTTTGACTTCCTGGGTGCGTGGGTTCCTCTTTGAGGTAACCACTGATGTATGTGCTTTGTGTGGTTTTCAGCATCGTGTTGGATAATGTATGGGAAAGTACTTTATAAATTAGGCCACATACACATGTGAACCTTGTTAATATTGTTAACCACTTGACCTTGTCTGCTGATTTTGGGGCTATCAGAGTTTAATATCCCAAGGGTCCCACAGCCAAATAAAACACAGAAATTTGGTATCATTGGTGGGTGGGAACCACCATCTGAATACCTCCCAGGAGGTTTGCTCCATTGGCTCCAGCCAGCAAGAGCTGTTGGAAGACCATATTAAAAGTTATTATATGAGGATGATATGGGGTCTTCCCCCCAAGGTCCTTGAATCCATGGAAATCTTTAACTCAAAGAAGGACTCATCCGAATCTTTACCTAACTTTGCCTCTTCAACCTACCTTATTTCTGGGGTGGATTCCAAAGATGGAGTTTCCAGGCCCTTTAGAAGAAGCTCTAAAGCTTTTCATGAAGAACAGGTGAGAACAACAAATTCAGTTCCCATCCTGGATCATAAAGGGACTCCTTGATGATTATTATGCTTCTGCCTTCCTTACATATGATTTAATCTCCTGGTTTCCCAGGTCAGAGAACTCACCAGTGCAAAGCAGAGGAGGAAAGGAAGCTGTTTTCTATTCTGATAAGGTGATTAATCTTTCCCCTTTCCTGGTCCCTTTTTAAAGTGTGGTCAGTGCATTTCAGGGATTCAGTGCACGCTGCCATAGTCATGGGAGGGGCTAGCTATGGGAATGGGTTTGCGAATGAAGTCCTTGGGGAGAGGCCAGAGAGTATATTGTGAAGTCATGGGTAAGGGGTGAGGGGGTAGCAGGCTTCAGCTGGCCCCACTCCAGCTAGGCTAGCAAGCACCCCTTTCCTTGTTCTGGTTCTGGCTGCAGCTTTGTACCTCCTGTCTTCTACAGCCCCTGGGTTGACAATCATGATACCATGAGCTTTCGTCAGCTGTTATGTCCAGACCCACTCTGTGATGTGTGCAACAGCACAACTGCTGAGATCATGAAAGTGCTGCTCCGACAGTCCCTGGAAGATGCTGCTCCCTCTGTGTCACTTTTAGGTTATCCAGTTTCTGTGACAGAGTCATCACATACTTTCTCCTCCACCCTGTCAGTAAGCCCCCCAGGAGAATTAATACCAGCCCCTCTGCCTGAGCCTTCTCCACCTCCTGCCTCCTTTCTCTCACCTGACCTGATGACCCCCTTACCTGACTTACCTTCACCTTCACCACCGGATGACCCTCTGCCACCAGAGCCCATTTCTCCCTCAAATTCCAAACCCCTAGTGGACCCTTCTTCACCCCAGCCACTTGCCTTTCCCCCTCTCCCCCCACATCACACTCAGGGAGCAGACCCTGTTCTCCAACCAGAGGCCACTTTGTCTGTAAAGACCATCTTTGCATTTGACCCCATCCTCTCCCAAGACATCAGCCCCTTACAAAATTCATCCCTGGCAATAGATCCCACTGATACCCATGCTTGTCATCATGCACCGCCAACCCCATCTGCTTCACCACTGCCAGATGGCACCTTAACTGTGACTCAATCCAAATCAACTTCCAGCGTGTCAAAGCCTGTTCTGGAAGTGTCATCTCCAGCTAGCACTGATGAACTGTCCACTTACGTCCCAACAATCAGAGGCATTGACCCTTCAAGTTTTGCAATTTTAGAATTCTCCTGGTGGCAGCCTCATGCCCAGGACTTGTTCCCCTCCAACTTGGCACCATGTGACTTCAAGCAAGAGCTTTCTGCCCTCCATTCTTCTGAGGCTTCTTTTGTGGGAGACTCTGCAGCCATCCTTATTGAACCTGGGAAACTCTCTTTTTTCAACCCTGATATTCTGGCACTGTTGGAGAGACAAGTTAAAAAGAGGAGTGATTTCCTGATGTGGAAGGAAAAGGGAAAGAAAATGGGATCTTTTCCGAAGCAACTTAAGTCAGACTACCGACTAAATTCTTCAGCCCAACTGTTAGTGTCAACTGCTGATAAACATGGCTCAGCAGTTTCTCTTCCTTTGTGGACCAGCACAGATAAACCAGAAGAGTTGCATGCGCATCCACAGCATATATATTCTAAGACCTTTGAGGACAATTTAAAGCAAAAATATATACAGCTCTTCTGTGGTCTCCCATCTCTGCACAGTGAGTCCCTGCAGTCTACTGTCCTCATCCTGGGTGGTTCTTCCTCAACCTTTGTGCTCTTCAATGGAATCTCAAATGCCTCCGTAGCCCAAGAATCCCCAGTACTTCCTCTTCCCCAACCTCTGTCCTTGCCTGAGGCCCAATCTCAACTTTTGCCTCAAATCCTGCCTCCATCTCAGCCCCTAGCCCTCACTCAAGTCCAATCCCAGGCCCAACTTCAATCCCCATTCCCAATCCTATCATCTGATTCTCTATCCCAGATTAGGATCTGTGGAGTATGTTTTCATAAACCCCAGAAGGAGGCACAGAGTCTTATGCCATCTGAAATTCATCACCTAGAATGGAATGTGTTGCAGAAAGAACAGGAAATTATGTGGGGTTTACCCTCTGTGGTCAAGAAATCTCAGAAAGACTTTTGTCCTCCATCTCCCAACCTTACACTGGTCAGCCACTCCTTCAAGGCTCATGTTCCAATCTCTATCCTTCCTGGAGATTTTCCTCTCAGCAGTGAGCTTCGGAAGAAACTAGAGCACCACCTTCGAAAGAGGCTCATCCAACACCGGTGGGGCCTGCCCCGCAGGATCTATGAGTCTTTGTCACTGCTGAATCCTCAGAGAAAAATTCCTGAGACATCTGAGTCAAAGTGCCATTATGGACTCTCATGGATCTCTTTCTTTAAAAGTCAAGGCAGTAAAGATCTAGAGAATTCTGGATTGAGTCAATCTGGAAGCCTCCATGAGAGATGCTCAGAAATGCTTTCACTAAAGAAGAATGTGAGGAAGGATCAGGGACATAGCCTAGAGAATGGCCCGAAAGATCATCTGTTGAATAACCCAGAGAGGTCTTCAGATAAGGGTCTAGGGTCTCACTCTGTGAAAGACGTAGAACATCACATGGTGAGTCTTCCAGGGAATAATTCAAGGGCCTCAAGTATGAGCCTGGGTCCAGAACAACTTGAAAATGCCCTGACAGCACACTTGAGCAAGAAATTTGAGAAAATCAGTGAGAGTCAGATTTCTAGGACTATGCATAATTCATGTCATTCTATCAAGCAAACAGTGCCTCTTCCTAAGAAATCCCACAGCCAAATAAAACACAGAAATTTGGTATCATTGGTGGGTGGGAACCACAACCTGAATACCTCCCAGGAGGTTTTCTCTGTTGGCTCCAGCCAGCAAGAGCTGTTGGAAGACCATATTAAAAGTTATTATATGAGGATGATATGGGGTCTTCCCCCCAAGGTCCTTGAATCCATGGAAATCTTTAACTCAAAGAAGGACTCATCGGAATCTTTACCTAACTTTGCCTCTTCAACCTACCTTATTTCTGGGGTGGATTCTAAGGATGGAGTTTCCAGGCCCCTTAGAAGAAGCTCTAAAGCTTTTCATGAAGAACAGGTGAGAACAACAAATTCAGTTCCCATCCTGGATCATGTCTTCCCTGTCCCCTCACCTGTGGGCAAAGGAGGACAGGGAACCTTAAGACAATCACCATCTGATACCAACCATGAGCTTACAGAGAACCTCCAGACAATTGAGGATGGCAAACAGACTTTTCTGGCCCCCCCTCATAGCAGCATAAACAAAGCAAGTCAGAAGCCCTCTATACTAACCAACAGATACAGGCCAAAGCTGCCCACAAGGCAAGCTGGGGCTGGACATAAGCCAGTGGATGTGAAAATGAGTTCCAATGATGGAGCAGCAAGGCTTCAGGGCAAAAGGATAAAGAATTTGGAACATTTTCCCAAACTCAACAGGTCCAGGGAGATATTCAAGGCACAGGAGCTTTATGCTCTTCAATAACAATCCAGTAATGACTTGACAACTCGTCAGTTGGAAAGCTCCCCAGTGATAAACATGTTCCATTTCATTTATTTCTGCTTTGACTTTTGTTATTTGTTTTCTTCTGCTAGCTTTTTGGGTTGGTTTGCTCCTCCTCTTCTAGTTCCTTGAGATATAATATTAAGTTGTTCATTTGTGGTCTTTCAGACTTTTGGATGTGGGCACTTAAGACCATGAATTTTCCCCTTAGGGATGCTTTTGCTGAATCCTGTAGATTTTTTTTTCTTTTTAAAATATTTTTATTTTATAAAATTTTTTACATTTTCTTTTTTATTTCTCTGGAAATGAGATGTAAATTCCTGTAGATTTTGATAGTTTGTGTCCCCTTTGTCATTCATGTGATGGCATCTTTTTATTTCCATCTTAATTTCATGGATCAGTGATTATTGACGATCATTCAGCAGCAGGTTGTTTCCATGACTTTGTGTAGAATTGAGTGTTTCTCTTGAAGTTGATTTCTAGTTTTAGTCCACTATGGTCCTGAGAAGATACATAGTATGATTTTAATTTTAAAAAATTTGTGGCCGGGAGCGGTGGCTCACGCCTATAATCCTAGCACTCTGGGAGGCTGAGGCGGGCAGATTGCTCGAGGTCAGGAGTTCGAAACCAGCCTGAGCAAGAGTGAGACCCCGTCTCTACTATAAATAGAAAGAAATTAATTGGCCAACTAATATAGAAAAAATTAGCTGGGCATGGTGGCACATGCCTGTAGTCCCAGCTACTTGGGAGGCTGAGGCAGGAGGATTGCTTGAGCCCAGGCGTTTGAGGTTGCTGTGAGCTACGCTGATGCCACGGCACTCACTCTAGCCTGGGCAACAAAGCGAGACTCTGTCTCAAAAAAAAAATTTGTTTTGTCTTGTTTTGTGGCCTAAGATATGATCAATCTTGGAGAATGTCCTATGTGCTGATGGGAAGAATGTATATTCAGTAGTTTGGGGGTAGAATGTACTGTAAATGTCTGTTAGGTCAATTTGTTTTGTTTTGTCTTGTTGAATTGTTCCCTTTACCATTATATAGTGACTATCTTTGTCTTTCTTTACCATTGTTGATTTTAAGTGAATTTTGTCCGATGTGTGAATGGCTATACTTATTCTCCTTTGGTTCCCATTGTGTGGAATTTATTTTTCCATCCTTTCACGTTGGTCTGAGTCCTTATGGTGTAGATGTATTGTGTTTTTGCATAAATTCAGCCAGCCTATTTATTTTTAGTGATGCATTTAAACGATTCATGTTGAGAGATAGAATTGATATGTGGGATGATGTTCTGTTCATCATGTTAGGTAATACCTTATTGCTTTGTTTTCCCTCTTGTGCTATTGTTTTATAAAAGTTGTGAGCTTTAGCTTTTTTGGGTGATTTAAAACTGGTGGGTATCTATTATGCTGATTCATGTATAATGCAGTTCTGAGTATTTGCTGCAGGGCAGGTCTGGCCATGACAAATTCTCTCAGTCTTTGCTTGTTTGGAAAGATTTAATTTCTACATCAGCTATGAAACTTAAGTTTTGCAGGATTCAAAATTCTAGGCTGGCAGTTACTCTGTTTAAGATCAAAGATGGGTCTTCACTCCCTTCTGGCTTGTAAGATTTCCACTAAGAACTCTACTGTTAGCCTGATGGATTTTCCTTTATAGGTCAGTTGCTTATGTCTAGCTGCTTGTAGAATTTGCTACTTCATTTTGACTTTGACCAGGTTGATCACTATGTGTCTTGAAGATGTCCTATTTGCTACTAATCTTCTGGTGCTCAATGACTATCTTGTATTTGGATGTCTGGATCTCTGGTGATACCAGGGAAGATTTCTTCAATAATTCCCTCAAATAGATTTTCCATGCTTTTAGCTCTTTCTTCTCCTTAAGGGATACCTATAATCAATATGTTAGTTCATTTTGTATAGTCCCATATCTCTCTAAGTGATTGCTTAGCCTTTTTTGTTCTCTGCCTTTTTAAATGACACAGTTAGCTCAAGAGCCTTGTCTTCAAGCTCTGAGATTCTTTCTTCTTGGTTAGTCTATTGAAGTTTTCTGCAGTGTTTTTGAAATTCCCTAGATGACTCTTCCATTTCTTTAAGTTCTATCATACCCTTTCTTATGTTGTCTATCTCATTAGTGACTTTTTCATTAGTTTCCCTGAAATTTATTTTTTTGGCTTCTTCTTGTTGATTCTCAACTTTTTCTTCAATTCCATTCATCTTATTTGCCATCCAGATTTTGAATTCCATTTCTGTCATTTTTGCAATTTCCTTGTTGTTGGAGTCCACCACTGTAGCTACATTGTGATCCCTTGAGGGTGTTGAACTGTTTTGTTTTTTCATGTTGCTGGGTTCTTTTGATGGTTTCTTGTCATCTGAAACCCTGTTTCTTTACTCAGGGCTAGTAGGTTTGCAGGGCACCTGTTTTTTTGCTGAGAACTCTCCTGCTTAATTAGAAAAAGGGGAGCTTCCTGTATGGTGCTTTTTTCCCTGTTCCAGAATGTTGACATGGCAGGGGAGGGCATGAGCACCACAAGCCTGTAATGCAGCTGTTCTGATTTTCCTGTTCACAAGTGGTTGCACTGCTCAAGCCTGTGCTGGATTATCTTTGTGCTGGCTATTGGGTTGTCTCCCAGATAGTTGTAAGACATTTGAGTTGTGAGCGTGCTGCCACCCTCTCCAAAGAGGCTGGCATTGTGGAGAGTTGCTCTGTCCGGGGTCTCCCCACAGAGGTGACAGTGGCAGCTGGGTGAGGCTATCTAGGTAGTGGTCATGGGTTCCCAGGCTGTGGGCATTTGCTCAAACTAGATCTCGGTATAATGGCGGCTTGAAGTTAGGAGGATCCTGGCTGGCCGCTGGGCCTGGGAGCAGTTCCACCGGTCCTGCAGCAGTGGCGGAGACTCAGGGGTGGTGTCTTAGGGTCTAGGCGTGGTGCTGGAATGTCGGAGGTGGCGTCTCTGGCCTGGCAGGAGCCCGGGACACTCAGGGGTGGTGTCGTGGGGTCCAGGCGCGGTGCTGGAATGTCGGAGGTGGAGTCCTCGCCCTGTCAGGAGCCCGGGACACTCAGGGGTGGTGTCGTGGGGTCCGGGCGCGGTGCTGGAACGTCGGAGGTGGAGTCCTCGCCCTGACAGGAGCCCGGGACACTCAGGGGTGGTGTCGTGGGGTCGAGGCGCGGTGCTGGAACGTCGGAGGTGGCGTCCTCGCCCTGACAGGAGCCCGGGACACTCAGGGGTGGTGTCGTGAGGTCCAGGCACGGTGCTGGAATGTCGGAGGTGGAGTCCTCGCCCTGACAGGAGCCCGGGAGACTCAGGGGTGGTGTCGTGAGGTCCAGGCACGGTGCTGGAATGTCGGAGGTGGCGTCCTCGGCCTGACAGGAGCCCGGGACACTCAGGGGTGGTGTCGTGGGGTCCAGGCACGGTGCTGGAATGTCGGAGGTGGCGTCCTCGGCCTGACAGGAGCCCGGGACACTCAGGGGTGGTGTCGTGGGGTCCAGGCGCGGTGCTGGAATGTCGGAGGTGGCGTCCTCGCCCTGACAGGAGCCCGGGACACTCAGGGGTGGTGTCGTGGGGTCCAGGTGCGGTGCTAGAATGTCGGAGGTGGCGCCCTCGCCCTGACAGGAGCCCGGGACACTCAGGGGTGGTGACGTGGGGTCCAGGCGCGGTGCTGGAATGTCGGAGGTGGCGTCCTCGCCCTGACAGGAGCCCGGGACACTCAGGGGTGGTGTCGTGGGGTCCAGGCGCGGTGCTGGAACGTCGGAGGTGGCGTCCTCGGCCTGACAGGAGCCCGGGAGACTCGGTGGAGCTGGAAGCAGGCCTCCTGGGCGGGGCCTCAGCCGGAAGCAGGCCTCCTGGGCGGGGCCTCAGCCGGCCTGACAGGAGCCCGGGAGACTCGGTGGAGCTGGAAGCAGGCCTCCTGGGCGGGGCCTCAGCCGGAAGCAGGCCTCCTGGGCGGGGCCTCAGCCGGAAGCAGGCCTCCTGGGCGGGGCCTCAGCCGGAAGCAGGCCTTCTGGGCGGGGCCTCAGCCGGAAGCAGGCTGTGCCGCGGTGTGCTGTGCCCCCTGGAGGCAGAGGCAGAGGCAGACGGAGCAGGCGGGAGGCTGTGGATACCTGGAGGACGGACGGAGCCAGGGCCGAGGAGGGGTGGGCTCTGTCACAGGCTTGGGGGTCACACTGCGGAGTCCCCCCCCCACGGGCGCTGCTGCAAAGCTGAGTCCTGTGCCGGCCCGGCGCCGTGCACCTGAGAGCACAGGACGGCATCAGCTGCAGAAGCCCGGGACTGCCGCCGCCAGATCCTCCCTGTGCCTGTCGTCGGGTGCGCTGACTCTGCAGGACGTAGGCAGGTCCCCAGTCCGTCCTGTGGGGAGCTGGGCCGCGGTGCCTGCGGGTGAGTGCAGCACCCGGCGCTCTCTCCTGTTCTTCCCACATGTGGACGCCTCCCTGCGATCACTTGATCAGGTAGAGTGTGTCGTCCCCTCACCTTTTTCACTGAGTAGTCTGCATTGCTCCCCTGTGATCTCGTGATGTCCCTTCCGAGAAGAGCTATCCGTAGGCAGGCATCTGCCTGCAGTTTGCACTCCCCGAGAGCGGCACGCTGGGGGCTGCTCCTGGCTTACCACCTTCCCAGGTCCCCAGGGATAAATGTAAATACAGGTAAAGTAGAAACAACCGTGACCACTGAAAGTTCCCCACCAGGAATATCAGTTCCCCGAGATCCTAAATCATCAGACCTTAAAAATCAGCTATTGGGTGAATTAAAATTAAGTTGGAGAACAGGGAGCATAGCCAAGCTCAAAGCCATCCCACTGACATACCCCTTCCCTCAGATAACATGACTTCTGAGCCCTTACTGACTTATGCCTGGGCAGGAGCCTAGCAGCTCTCCAGGGGCAGTGTGGCTTCTTGGAGAACCGAGGGATCTGCATGGAGCAGAGGCAGGTCCCCTGGGTCCCTAAGCATGTCTTATGGAAGTGCCAGGGTGAGGATTTCCCACCAGCCGCAGAGAGAGTGAGCCCTGTGGGACTCAAAGCAGGAGATATTGGTGGAGGGGATGCAGGGTTAGGGACACCCTAAGTTTCTCTGGAGAAGGGCAGCTCTGTATCATCACCTGTGCAGAACAGAGACCTCGGTAAAAGTAGAGCTGCCTTTGCTGGGACTACAGAAGCTCAGAAAGTAATGACACACATTGGGAAGTTCCCAGAGGAGAAACTGGGGCATAGGCATGGAATAGATATTGATGGCCCCAAAGAGCCCCTTATGTCCCCAACTTATCACAAAACAGAACTGCAGGCTCAGGCAAAGCCCACCCACAGCCACCCCTGCAACAACATGGCACTCTTTGCTAAAGTGACACATACTAAGTCTGGTTGCCAAAAAGTTGCCTTTGCTGGCCAGAGGTTTTTTTGTTTTTTTTGAGACAGAGTCTCACTTTGTTGCCCAGGCTAGAGTGAGTGCGGTGGCATCAGCCTGGCTCACAGCAACCTCAATCTCCGAGGCTCGCGATCCTACTGCCTCAGCCTCCTAAGTAGCTGGGACTACAGGCATGCGCCACCATGCCCGGCTAATTTTTTTGTATATATATTTTTAGTTGGTCAATTAATTTATTTCTATTTTTGGTAGAGACGAGGTCTTGCTCAGGCTGGTTTCGAACTCCTGACCTTGAGCAATCTGCCCGCCTCGGCCTCCCAAAGTGCTAGGATTACAGGCGTGAGCCACCACGCCCGGCCGGGAGAGGGTTTTTTTTTTGTTGTTGTTGTTTTACAGGGATTGGACAGATCAGAGACAAGGACAGACAGGCCCAGAAAGGTGTGGCATGGAAGTGCCAGCTACTACAGCAGGAGCATTCCCCACCCTGCCCCGCAGGGAGCCCGTGCCCCACGCAAACCCCACCTGCAGGCGTCAAGTTGGCCAAGTGCCTCCGGCTGCCCTTCCACTGCTGAACGCTCCATGTGCAGAGACTTGTCTTGAATCTCTAGACAGAAAATGCTTCCCACACATTTCCAGGGAAGAAAATTTGCCCCCAAAACAATAATTCATTCCTTGTTGAATAGGAGTGGTATTTTCTGTGTGCTGTGTTGGGGACATGGGTTCGGGTAACCTAGAGCTTGCACTTAGGAAAAGTAGGAGTTACTTCCTCTCTTCCTGTTGCCTATTTTGGCTTCTAAAATATGACCAGTGCCCGGGAGCTCTCGTGGAGGAGTGGATATCATGTGCCCTCAAAAGCCCCTTCTGACCCTGATGAAGTTTGGGAATTTGGGTTCCTACCTCTTAGCTTGGCCTTGATGACATTGTCTTGCAGCCCACACCTCCCCTCACTGCCGGTTTCATGACCTTTGGAGCAGTAAGGAAGATAGACCTTCCATACCTGAAGAGAAGGTCAAACACAGGTATATTTTTCAGAAACTAGTGGCTTAATCATTTTTTAGAAGTTTTCAGCGACCAGAGGGTCACACAGGTGGGCAGGAGTGTTGGGGGTTATTGCTGCAGTGGGTACTGCGCTGGCTGGGGAAGGTCTTAGGAACAGGGCAGACGCTGCCTAAGATTCTGTCACGTGGGCATGCTGAGGTGTTGGGGAAGCACACTGGGACCTGATGTTGGTTTCCTCGCTGCCAAGTTACCTTGAGTGGGAAAGGAAGAAAATAAAATGAAGGTGGGAAAGAAGCCCTTGCTGGTGAACAAAGGTGTTCATGCCCCATTGTGCCCTGGTCATGCCCCTGTCCTGCTCCCCACTTCCCAGTCTGACCAGGCACCACATCCTTGGCTCGCTGATGCCATTTGGCAGAAGCATACATGGTGCTGCTCTTCTGGCACCAAAGCAGCATCTGCAGGGCTATTGTCAGGCACTGCAGCTGCCTCTTCAGGGAAGGTGACCTCAGTGCCTTCCTTCCATCTATGCTGATGACAACATGCAAGGTCTCGCCCTCAGTGCGGACATTTCACCTGTCAGGATGGAGGCTACCTTTGTGCTCTTCATGGGCTTGGTGGAGCCATGCTAGATTTCCCCAGAACACCTGCAGCTCATGGTCCTCAGGTGAGTCCTGCACTGTGCACCAAGGTCACAGATATTTGGGGGCTCACCATGCACATTCACAGAATGCTCTCTTTGACCAAGACTGCACATATATCCACCCTTAAAATACAGGTCTGGAGAGAAGGCAGCTACATGTTTACAGACTGGGACTCAAAATGGGTGGCTTTCCTAGAGGGTACTTGAGATAGTTTTTCCAGAAAAATTTGTAAATGCAAGGTATCAAAACAGCAAACAACAAACAAATGTCCACTACAGCCCCTTACCCTGCTGTACTCCTGTTTTCTTGTCCAGAGTTATGCCATCGACCTGCAGTGTCAGAGCTTGGGGTTCCTGAAAGAATCCAGAGCCTGGGGAGGCCCTGGGAAGGACTGGGTGTGGGATGGGTCCCAGGGCGAGGAACGTGTAGAAGTGGAGAACCAGTGAAGGACCCCAACATCCTTGTGGATAGTTCAGCCAATAACCCGTCCTCTCAGTCCTGCCATCCTCCCACCCTAGGGTTCTTGCCTCCATTCCAGTGCAGTTACGACCCCACCTGGAACTTGTCGTCAGGTGCACCTCTGACATCTGCAGGAATGCAGCTTGATGTTCCACCCTTTGACCTCATCCCCCATTCTTCCAGCATGTGCCATCAATTTGTCGTTTTTTCAACTCCAGATCATTAATTTTTCTACTTACTCATCTATCTATGAAGTTCTTGTCCTCATTTCCTCCCTCATCAAGATGGACTTCAGGGTCTACTTGGTACCCAATATTTTAAAAGCTCCACTTCAAATAGGCCTCATCCAATTCCCTTTAATCCTTCCTATTTGGCAGAATCTCATCTCTGCCTTTTCCAAAAATGCCTTCCTAAAAGTAACTCTTGGATTAAATCTCACAAGTCTACTGGCACCATGATAAAATTTATGGTCAACCCTAGCTCTGTCTGGAAATATTTCACTCATTCATTCCAAAAATAATGGTCTAGTGCTTACTAACAGTAAAGAAAACAAATAGAACTTAGGTCACTTTATTTTTAGTCCACTCTCTACCATGCTAGTCAAATCTGTTTCAAACTTTCTGCACTTTGCTTAAACTTAGGCCATCTCCACTTGCTTAGCAGATGTGTTGAACTCACTATTCACAGAGGAACTAGAAGCCACTAGGAGGGAATTTTGCATCAAAAATCCTTTTAAATAAAAACCATATCCATTTCTCCTTTCCCTCTTTCTTTTTGTTGTATAGAAAGAGATTTCCTTCTAAGGTTTCTATCCTCAAAGGAATTACACTTTCTGAACTGTCTTTATACTAAGGAATAGTTAAAACATAGTCTTTTTGTTTGTTTGTTTGAGACAGGGTCTTGCTCTGTTGCCCAGGCTGGGGTACAGTGGTGTCATCATAGCTTACTGCAGCCTCCAACTCCTGGGCTCAGACATCTTCCTGCCTCAGCCTCCCCAGTAGCTGGGACTACAGGCATGAGCCACCATGCCTGGCCATAAAACCAAGTCTTGACGGACTGACTCACTTGTGCCAGCTATCTTTACTGCCCCCTCTCCTCTCCTCATGGCACTCAACATCTTTTATTTTTTTAAGCTTTTTATTACAAAAATGTTTAAACATACATAAGAGCAGATATAACAGTATAACTCCCCATGTACCCAGCACCCAACTTTCACAGTCACCATGCATGGTGCACCCCATCCTTTACACTACGACTAAGGTATAACAGGCCATTTGAACATCTTGCCATCTGTCTCTTAGCAGACATGCCCCGTGCCCCGTGTCAGTGCTCTCCCATTCCTTGATATTTATCACATGGGGCTCACACTTAGCCACAACAGGGGTACACAGCATTGGCGACTGAAACACACTGAGCTTTTACTGGCTTTGGCAATCAGCTCTGCTCTGTCAACCCTGGGACATTGTTTGAATTCCTCCCCCCATCTCATACAAACAGTAATCTTTATAGAACAAATTCAGTGCATAATACTGCAATCCCTAATTACACAGTAAGTATAACATGAAAAAAGTACAGAAGTAGAAAATTTACATGTTGATAAGAATGAGATTGCTATGTAAATGTTTCAAAATATTTAGAAGAAAATTTTTTCCTGTCACACATTTAAAATTGTGTTTCCAGTTAAATACAGTAAATCAAATATACTTGTTTATCTCTTTTCCTTCCCCAAATGCCATTAAAAGGAAAGGATTATATGAAAAAATGCTCAACATCATTAATCATCAGGGAAATACAAATCAAAACCAGTATGAAATACCACTCCACACCCACTAGGATGGGCAGAATCAAAAAGACAGATAAGTGGGAGAATGTGGAGACGTTGGAAGCTTCATATACTGCTGGTGGGAATGTAAAATGCTGTGGCTGCTTTGGAAACAGACTTCAGTGTAACATCCTCAGATGTTAAACAGGGTTGGCGCATACCAACCCAGCAGTTCCTCTCCTCGCTATATGCCCAAGAGAAAGGAAAGCATATGTCCACACAAACCTGCCCACAGATGTTCAAAGGAGCATCATTCATAATAGTAAAAATGACCCAGATGTCCATCAACTGATGAATGGACAAACAAAATGTGCTATATCCATAAAATGGGATCTTATTCAGCCCTAGAAGAATAAAGTATTAATACATGCCACAACATGGATGAACCTTGAAAACATGCTAAGTGAGAGAAGCCAGAAGCACATGACCACATATGATTCCATTCTTATGAAATGTTCAGAATGGGGAAATCGGCAGTGACAGAAAATAGATTAGTGGTTGCTCAGGGCTGGCGGAATGAGGGATGGAAGGGGTATTAGCTAAAGGGTATGGGTTGTTTTTTTTTTTTAAGTCATGAAACTGTTATAAAATTGACTTTGGTGATGGATGTGCAACTCTGATATACTAAAAATCATTGAATTTTACACAGTGAAGTGTGTGGTATGTGAATAATATTTCAATAAAACTGTTTAAAAAGTAAGGGATTTAAAGAGAATAAGTGCTTGAGGATGACAAGGACAGGAGAGGGTACAACAGAGGAGGCCAACGCATTTTCGGAAGATGGAAACACAGGTAGCTGACTCAGCAAAGCAGATGAAGCACGTGTAACCCAGTTCACACTGTGAAACCCCAGAAGACAATGGCATGGTGGGTTACTTGTTATAAATATGGTTCTTTGAAATTTTGGTCCTTTACTCGTGGCCTTAGATGGCCTTTACTCCTGCCACTCGGCCTCCCAAAGTGCTAGGATTATAGGTGTGAGCTACTATACCTGGCCAGGGAATTTTATTTTTGAAAATATAAAATATGTAAAATATCTTGATTTCTAGGGGCTTTCCATGGAAATAAAAAATTTAGTCTGCTGTTTTCAAAACCAATTCATCATGATATTGAAGGTTGAAAATCTAAATGATGGTCAATGTTAGCCCCATAGTGACCAAACAAACAAACACAAAACAAAAAACTCAAAACACCAACCAAAACAAAACCAAAGCAAAAAAACTAAATAAAGAAAAAATCCAATAACAAATAAGCAAACAAAATCCAGGCAGAAAGTAGATGGCTTGTTAAGGCCAAACTATAGGAACCCAAAAATCTTTGTGTAAGTGAAATAAATCCTGCACAAGGAGTTAGGGTACTTGGACTTGGATTCTGACTCTTACTAGAAGAGTGGTCCGAGGCCTACCTCCTTGCCTAAAGGTCTTTGAGGTGTATTGTGTACCATGAGGTTCCCTGTCTCCCTCAGAGCATTGTGTAAGGAGCAACAGAAGATGTTTATGTAAAAGCACTTTGAAAAGTATAAAGAACCAGTACCTATCTCATGGGTTTGTTGTGAAGGTTAAATGAATGAACATTTACCTGATACCTGACATATAGGAATTGCTCAATTTATGTTAATTATTACTGTTATAATTAAACCTTTAAACCTATAGTCATATTTTATACACCATCAAATGACATTTCACCTTGGAAAAACTAGAAGAGACATATATAGGAACATTAAATTCAACTTTACAAGTGGATACATTAAAAACCATTTGACATCTGCAAGTCACTTTCCCTCTAACTCATTTATTTCTTATACTTTGGCATAAAGTAATGCTATACTCAGAAACTATAAACATTTAGCATGGATTCTTATTAAAAGAGAAGCCTCTGGATTTTATTTGTACTTTGCTTGTTTCTATGACTAACAGTATTTTTATTAGCTGATTCTGAGTTCTGAGCAACATCTTCTCATGCGCTTCTCAGTATTTCCACAGGGGGGCAGAGCAACACCATTAAATTAACACTATGTAGTCTTACTGAGCTGTTGCGATGCTGAATCCACGGGCCTTTACCTTACTGGATTCTGCAGTCTAACGTGAAACTCTGTGAATGCTATTTTGGAAGTTGTGCTTATTAAATTTACAAGTCCTCTGAGCACTTTGTGTAGCAGTGTGTGTGTGTGTGTGTGTCTGTGTGTGTCTGTGTGTGTTTGACATAATCAGGACAACTTACTGTTCACCCTGTAAAACTGCCTTTCGTTTTGTCTGATGGATTCCTCTGAGGAAGGTGAGAGAACCCCAGCTTCATCCTTGAGACAGTCACTGGTCTTGCTGTTGTGACTCAGAGGTGTCCCTTGAGAAACCAACAGCTTGATTCTGCTGCTGGTCTTTGCACTCCTTAGGTATAGAAGTGAACTTCCAAAAGGATGTATACAAGGCTTGAACATTCTTGTCCCTTATACAGGGATCTAGACATCTTGTCAAAGGTATTGCTGCAACCTGACTTCTAGACTGGTCTATAGATATGCACTGGGAAACTAAAAAATAGCAAATATATATATATAGTAAATTAGGATACATAGGCAAAATGCCCAAATTACTATTTAGCAGTAAACCTGATCACAAACTACAAAATTTTTTTGAAAGATAGCATTTACCTTACTACCTTGTTCCATAAAGCCTAGGACCTTCACTGACACCAGTATTTTTTCTATGACTTGATTAATGCCAAAAACCAAGAAAGCCTTTCTGAGCCCTAAGAACAGCAATATACAGTTGTTGTTGTTGTTGTTGTTGTTGTTGTTTTTGGTGTTTGCATGTTTAAGGTCTTGTTTGGCAGGCCTGCATACGAATCAACAAGTGTTTGTTGAATACTATGTATTAAACACTCTACCAACATGGAGTATTTCAAACTAGAAAGGAAGGTAGATTTTACAAATATACAGTTTGGTTGGGAGTTAAGATATAGGAGGTAAGTGTCGTGGCCCGTTTACAGGATGGAGGATGAACACAGAAAACAAAACAAAACACAGAACACAAAGAAAAACGCAGACACACATACAGATGGTTGACTCAATAGTAATACACTGGTCAGTTTATTTTATACTCCAAAAAATTAAAGTTAGTTCCTTACTAAACCACTCAGGCATTTCACAGTCATGCCATAAATTCAGATGTGTAGTCCTTAGGGCAAGCATATATCCTCCTGTCGATTTTGTTGCTCTAGATGCCAGGCATAGATCACAGACTGAGATTAGCAGATGGCAAGGCAAGGCCACAAGGGGCATTTCTCATCCCCAGCTTCTCTTAGGGTGACCCCCTAAGATCTTAGGTTGACCCCCGGCGTCTGTGCATGGCTTGTTAGGTTGCCCCTACCTTGAGGGCGCTACAACTAAACCAGCCATTTATGGGGGGCAGCAGCAATATATGCACATTGTTTATTGTGTGGCCTCCAGACCCGAGTGCCTGGGGCTGCGAAGCTCTTGCTTACTTGCAGCTCAGGTCGTTGTTATGCCTCTAGGCAATATCCTTGTTATCACAAGGACTAGGTTTTGGAGCCACATGCTTTAACGACTCTGGGCAGAACACAACATTTTTTCACTACATTTAATCTTTTTTTTTTTTTTTTTTTTTGAGACAGAGTCTTGGCATTGTTGCCAGGTAGGTGAGTGCGTGGGTCAGCCTAGCTCACAGCAACCTCAATCCTGGGCTCAAAACAATCCTCTGCCTCAGCCTCCAAGTAGCTTGGACTACAGCATGCGCACCATGCCTGGCTATAAATTAATCTTAACTAGCGAAAATACATGTCAGCCCTAAGGGTAAGACCTATAGATTTGAAGAACTATTAGATCTTAAATTTACCACTGCAATGGATAGGCACTAAGGTTTTCCAGTTTAAATTTTGATTCTTATATTAGAGGATAAAGGAAAAAAGAATGAAAAACCAGTGCTGATATTTATGGCACAGCTCTAAAGTACTACTTTGGAAGATTAATATTGATGGGTTCTAAAATACTACTAATGATTAATAAAAGAGAGACTTTAAAGGAAGACTTTTAAAAATTCTTTGCCTTCGCTTTTTGGAAACCCACAATCAGAGTTTTTCTA